CAAATAATTGTTTTCTTTATCTAAAAGGCATAAAAACTGCATGCTTTGGTCACTTCTTGAAGTCTCATATCTTCATGAGTTCCTGTATGTATGAAATTAAATTTTGTTTTTCTCCCGTTTATCTGGTTTGTGTCAGTTAATTATTAGACAAGCCAAAGAACCTAGAAGAGAAGAAGGCAAACATTTACTCCCTTACAAGACACTCAGTTTTACCTAGGTCTGCATTGCTCTTCCTTGACTGTAATGGAAAATTAGTTTTCTACCCTTAGGATATAAATATTAAGCATAATTTTCAGAGATACTTTCTGTTTTTTGTGAAGTAGTCTGTTAATTACAGGCAGTGATTTACCCCCTCCCCCAGGAGAAAGAATTGATGTCAAGGAAAGAATAGTTGTCTAGTGAACTGATTGTGTTTTTGTCACTTTTTACAAAGCTTACAAAGTAATATGACTCGGGATTTGAGCTTTATAATGTTTTAAAACCTTTATTTTCTATGATTTGAAAATGAATCTTTGGGAGCAAAAAAGCTTAGCTAGTAAATTTTGATAATCAGAATATTTTTTATGACTGCATTTTCAAATGTGAGCTCTTTTTGCTATCTTTATCTTTTATCATACCCGGAAATTATTAGGGTCAAAAGTTATTAGTTTTTTAAAGTGTCAAAATTACTTGAGATACACGTTGTTTATTCTGTAAAATGAATGGTAACCCCATCTCTGCTATTTCCAAGTATAAAACTTTAGGATCAAATATTTTAATTTTTCTTATTGTATAATAAGACATAAAAATAGACATTCCAGCATTTCACTGGATCCTATAGGGTTTGCTTTACTTATGCATTATTTTAGGCTACTCTTTTTTTAAAATTCTTGTCACTATTGGAAGATCTAGTAGAATTATCAAACTTAAATGCTTTTATTTTGAAGACTAATGTTCACCATTTCCTTGTTTTAGTTTATATTTTGTGTAGAATCATGGGATATAACAGTTAAGATCTTGCATTAATTTACTTAATATGCCATATAAATTTTATCTGTTTTTAAATATTTGACTAGTAGATCACATTTTTGGACTGAATTTTTCTTTTACAGTTAGAAATATAAATGGTGATTTAGAGGTGAAGTTTTAAGAAATCTTTTAAATGAATAGTTTTATTATATTTGCTCTACTGATTCATCATTTATCCATGAGAGAATTAGGCCAACAGTCAAGTTAAGGAATAGGCTTCCCTGGTGGCTCAGATGGTATAGAACCTGCCTGCAATGTGGGAGACGCAGGTTCGATTCCTGGGTCGGGAAGATCCCCTGGAGAAGGAAATGGCAACCCATTCCAGTGTTCTTGCCTGAACATAGACAGAGGAGCCTGGTGCACTGCAGTTCATGGGGTCACAGAGTCAGACATGATTTAGCGACTAAACTACAAAACAGCAATTCTGTGTAACTACAGACAACAACTCTGTGTTAAGCATACTTGATTGCTCTGGAGGCTGATCTTAAAATTCATTCTCCAACCTCTCCAGGCATGTCGTGAGCCTTGCCTCTAACACTGTCTGGTGACTCAAAGCCCCTCAAGTTTTTTTTTAAAAAGGCACTTTCTCAGGCATAACTTTACCAGTGGTTTAGAGATTACCTCCCAGGAGAGGGCAAAAAGTAGACCTCTCTTTGAATAAGGTTAGAATCTTTACTACACAGACTGTGAGCCAAACTGTAATATTAAAATTGTAGTGGTCATGTGCCAATTCCAACAATATTTGAAAAACCCCTTTAGAAGTAGCCAGCTGGTTAAGAATCCACCTGAAATGCAGGAGACTCCAGTTTGATTCCTGGATTGGGAAGATCCGCTGGAGAAGGGATAGGCTACACACAGCAGTATTCTTGGGCTTCCCTGGTGGCTTAGCTGATAAAGAATCCTCCTGCAGTGCGGGAGACCTGGGTTCAATCCCTGAGTTGGGAAGATCCTCTGGAGAAGGGAATGGCTACCCATTCCACTATTCTGGCCTGGAGAATTCCATGGACTGTATAGTCCATGGGGTTGCACAGATTCGGACACTACTGAGCAACTTTGACTTTTACTATAGAAGTACAATTGCATCTTAGTAGTCACTTGTAGTATACTAGTAACTTGAAGCTACTCTGTATTGTTAAGCAGAAGTTTGAGATTTCTTACAGTTTTACCTTCATTCAGAAAGGAAAGATTGTCTCTTTTACTTCTGAGTATTTATTCTATGGACAGAGTATAAAATACAGAGAATACTGTATTCTAAATGCAGCATAATTTTTGGGATTAATAAATTACATGTGATGCTAATATTGAGTAGTAGGGAAATAGTAGGCAATTACAGAATTTAAGAATTCATTAAATTACAATGGAGACTAACAATGTGACAAAAGCTTATCAGTTAAAAAGATTACAGAGGAACATAGATTGATATTATAACTTTGTACAGTGTGTATTAGAATAACACAACTATGAAAATGATCTAGCTAATTAACATCTAAATATTTTCCTGATATAATTGGATAAGTATGCAAAAATGTTTAAATGAAGATGGTTATAGTGAAAAATTTGACCTCCTGTTTTTTTTCTAAACAGATATCATCAGTGTGCTGAAGGAAAGTTCTAATGCCTCATTGTTTATTCTTCTTATGTCTTATTCTTGCCATCCCATGGACTGTAGCCCTCCAGGCTCCTCTGTCCATGGGATTCTCCAGGCAAGAATACTGGAGTGGTTGGCCATTCCCTTTTCCAGGGGATCTTCTTGAGCCAGGGTTTGAACCCGGGTCTCCTGAGCTACCGACTGAGCTACCAGGGAAGCCCCTCTTATTCTCAAAGGTTAATCATAAATGGAACTTTATTAAATCTCTTTTGTAGTCCTTTCCATTTTGATTTTGTCAAAATCCAGTCTTTTATCAATTTATCTGACAGAGGAATTTACTTTTTGTTGGTATCAAAAAGTTTACATTTCTTTTTAAAACTTTAGAAAGTTTCCTTTATTGAAAGAATATTTTTATCTTTAGGAGATTGCTATTCAATACTGATTACATGTGTACGTATAACTAGATCTCCCCCATGGCTCAGCGGTAAAGAATCCACCTGCCAAGCAGGAGACATGGGTTCAATTCCTGGGTCAGGAGGATCAGGAAATTTCTCTTCCACTGTTGGGGGCCGGGTTTTGATCTTTGGTCAGAGAACTAAGATCTCACAAGTGGTGACGTGTGGCCAAAAACATTGACCGAGAGCTGAACAAATTACCATTTGAAATAGGTTGGTTTTAAATTTATACATGATGTTTATTGTCCTTCCTATATATAAATGTTTTAATCTTGGTAATAGACCTCATGGTTACAATGAAAAGGCTAGTCCCATCACTTTATCTTTTAGCTTTGATAGTTCAACTTTGAAATTGGTCAAGCTCTTACCTGAAAAAGAGTCTAAATTACTTAAAAGAGTAATTATTTAAGAAGTAATACACAGTAAAGACCATTTAAGGAATAATGGATGAAAAGTCACTTATTTAAAGGATTTGGCCAATATAGAAATAAATTACATCTTTTTGTTCAACTTTTAATATACGTATATATGTATATACCATATATCATGAAAAAGTATATGTATGAAAAAGTCAAGGAGTGCTGCACAAATTATTCACATGCAAATGCTTAAAAATATACTATAAAAACTTAACATGATTAATATACCAATTGTATTTAAAATACACTAAATATACTTAAAAGTATACTGCAAAAATAATAATCAGGATACAACCCCTGATTGTGGTTTTTGATACTTCAGATATAACATCTCAGAGGGGAGAGATCTGCGAGAGCGGCCTTAGCAACGGCTTACCGGTGGTGAGCTACTGTTGGGCAGCTCGGCTGGCTGATAAAGCTGGGAGGTCCTGGCCTGGGGGCGCCGGTTGGAGACATGATTGCAATGCAGGCCTTAGGATTTGAGCCAAAGAAAGAAGAAATTTAAAAGATGAAAGCTGAAACTGACAAAGAAGGAATTGGCACCCTTAGTTTTGAAGAATTTTTTGCCATAATGAGTGTAAAAATGAGTGAAAAGGATGAAAAAGAAGAAATACTGAAGGCTTTCAAATTATTTGATGATGATACAGGAAGTGTATCACTGAACAATATCAAGAGGGTTGCTAAGGAACGAGGGGGAAATTTAACAGATGATGAACTTCAGGAAATGCTTGATGAGGCTGATCATGATGGGGATGCAGAAATAAACAAGGAAGAATTTTTGAAAATGATGCAAAAGACCACTTTTTATTAATACTGTCTTTTGTGCCTTCTGGAAAGTTGTTAACAAGTTTGTATTTGTTGTAAGTTCCATAATAGCTGAATGTATTCATTTTCAGTGTTTAAGTTTATATACATAAACTGGTCTCTTGATGTCTAATCTATGTGATGAGAAGTTACATGTTGCTACCAGTATGTTGTTAAATCTACAACGTCAAGAAATAAAATGTAGTGACTTCCTTAAACTCTGAATCTGAAGAACAGTATTAATTACAAGTGCTGTTTTTAGAGCCCCAGGTTCTAAAACTTAGATTTAACTTATGGAAATTGGTGCCACATCATAAGCCAGGCATTACTTTCCCTATTATTTTCCTTTTGTGCAACTCTGAAAATGAACATTTGCTTTTTAACTGATTATTCAGATATGTAAAGTCTTAAATAAAACTGTCTGGAAGCTTCAAAAAAAAAAAAAAACAACTCAGAGGGTTTGATCAAAAAAGGTTATGGGATTATGCTCCCAATTATGTGATGGCAGTTTGTTTTTTATCATTAACAACCATGTAGATGTGTGATAATTTTCCTTTACTGTTCTCTTCCAATCTTTAGATGTTATGGTTCTTGAGGTGTTCTCCTTAAATGCCATGATGTCAGATTTAAGTAATAGTACTAGCTTTTAATATTTTTTAGTAGTAAATTTATGGATCATTATCAGAGACTCATATTTATTAACAGAATATTGCTCTTGCTTTTCAGCGGGGCTCTGATGAGCTTCTTTCTTCTGGCATCATTAACGGACCTTTTACCATGAACAATTCCACTCCTTCTGCAGGTGTGTATGGTGAGTTTTCTTTTTTTTTTTTTCCAAATTTGAGAATTTTCTTCCCTGGGTTTCAAACATTTTTTCCACAGTGTTCTTATTTTGCTCATCTTATAACATCAAGTGCTACTATTTATAACAAAAACTAAAATTTGTGGCAATGAAGTTCATATAGATGAAGTTACTAGTTATAGCACTCTTACATTTTAAGGATTAATTTGGATCTAATTTGATAATTCCTTTTTTGACTGACATTCTTTGTTAACATAATTGTGATAAATTATCAGTAAATTGGTGATCTAGAACTATTGAGTAAAAGAGCTAGATTTAAAAGCTTGCATTGAATGATGATCGCTTTAGAAGTATTAAAACTAAATTAAAAATTTATAAGCTCACGTGATTTTAAAACTAAATGCTCTTGAAATTTGAGGGCTGTGAAATGAATTGGAGGAGTGCAGTACTGAAGAGATAGCAAGGGGTTACGAGGCTGTTGCTGCACGGGAAATCCTGGTAAGGGAGGGAAATTTGTACTGCAGCAGTAGCAGTTGTGATGGAGAGAATTAGAGAACTTAGAGGTGAAATCGATGGTAATCGGTAATTAGTTGAATGTTTGAATAAGGAATTCCATTAATGACTTTCAGATTTTAGATTTGGATAGTTGTGAAGCTGAATTGTAGTGCCTTTGTTTATATTAGAAAATACAGAAAGAATAGGGTTGGACAACATAACACGTTCAGATTTCATATATTGATTTGAAGTTCCTCTGGGAACATCCAGATGGAAGTGTCAGGTAGGTAGTGGGTTCTTCTGGTTTCAGCATCATAAGAGAAATTTGGAAATCAATATCATACTCACTTAACCATGGAAGCCATGAGAGTAGAGAGTCTCAGAAAAGGTGAGATTTTTTTTATCCAAATGTTTTTGGAGTTCTAGGAAGTTAGAGAATGAGTGGACTTCACCTTCTAGGTGCTGGTGTCTGGAAGAGTGAACAACCTTTACATGAGAACCCCTGTAAGAGAGGTGACAGTCAAGATGAAAGATGAAAAGAAAATTCAGTGAAGAGATCAAGAGTATATGAGAATTGGTCAGCCATGGAACATTACTCTACAAGATTTGTTGGTGGGGCAGCAGCAGGGGGTTTGTTCTTGTGGAAATGTGAACAGTAGATAATAGGAGCAGGAGATTAAAGCTCTCAAACTTGACTTGGCTTCAGAATCATCTGAGAAAGCACAATTGCAGAGTCCATCCTCAGAATTGCTAGGCCAGTAGATCCGGGATGGGTCCTGATAATTTTGCATTTCCACAAGTTCCCAGGAATGATAATGCCGACATTTGAGGAGCCATACTTAAAGAGAATTACTGAATGAAGGAAATAACTAGAATTTGAAGTTCTGAAATCTGATTATCCTCTTGATCTGTTAGACTTTTTAAGGAAAATTTGGCTCTTACTCCTAGAGCTATGGTACATCTAGGGTGGGGCCCACATGTTTGCTTTTAACTTTAAAACTGAGGTCAGTTTGTTTGGTCATATTTACAGACTACTGGAACAGATGACCAGAAAGACTGACACCTTGATTGATTGATTGGTTACTTAGGAAAAGAAAGATGTATGAGCTGTGAGTTTATATGGCATCAGGAGTCTGCTGTGTTTTGTCTTTATGTTTTGAATTTCTTCTTGTATCCCATTTCATTCTAGGTTCAGTGTTTTTAGATTGACAGTTATTTTCTCTTAATACTTTGCAGGTACTGTTTTATTATTCTTTTAGCCTCTGTTGTTGAGAAGACTTTGTCAGCCTACGTTGATTGTATAGATAGAGTTAATTCTCTGTAGTTGTTTTAACATTTTTCTCTTTAATTTTGTTCTGTGCCTCTAGCTATGTCTAGGTGTGGATCGCTGGTTCTCTGAGGGTTCACTAAAATAGCTTGGGAAGCTTTGAGGAAAATACAGATACCTTGACCTACTCCACACCAATTCTAAAATTGCTGGTTGGGGAAGGAGAGGCCTCAGCACTGTTTTTAGAGCTTCTTAGCTGACACATGTAAGGTACAGCCAGGGCTGAAGGCCATTGCTGCAGACTTACTTTCATTTATCCTGCTTAGTAGTGACCCCAACTTTCCACAGAGTTGCCTCCTTCTGGAACTCCAGTTAGACATGTTTTGGGCCACCTCATTTAGTCCTGCATTTGTTTTGACCTCTTACATTCATTGTCACCTCTTTCTCCTTAAAGTCCTGTATTCTGGGTAATGTCCTTGAAATGGTTTTCTGATTCACTCATTGTTCAGCTTTGTCTAATATGCTTTTTAATCCTTCTGTTGAGTATTTTATTTCAAGGCATATATTTTTCATTATTCTATGTCTATTTGACTCATTTTTTAAAGACCATCTAGTTGGGTTTCTTTTTTAATATTGTGTTCTTTTCTTATGGTGTCTGTTGTTTTTTCCTCTAATTTTTAAATTATTTTAAATAATTTTTATAGTCTCGGATTTTACAATTATGGAGTTGTTAGGGGTGCTAATATTCCTGGGTTTTGTATCAGCTAATGTTTGTTTATGGTATATTATTTTTACTTGATTCATAATTTTTGGTTATGAGATAAACTTCAACTAAATTATTTTTTTCCTTCTGTGAGAATCTTTTGTGTTTACTCTGCCAGATTTGCTAGGGTAGAAATGGCAACCCACTCCAGCATTCTTGCCTGGAAAATTCCATGGACGGAGGAGCCTGGCGAGCTATAGTACAAGGAGTCGTACAGAGTCAGACACAGCTGAGCATGCACATATGTATAGTATAGTTCTGCTAACATATTCTAATGTGTATATTAATATATTGCTTTGGGGATTCATATCAGAAGAAAAGAGAAGATAAAAATCTGGATATTTACATTTCTCCTTTCAGATCTCTGAACAGACATATACTTCCTTGTTCAATACCTGTGGTAGATGGAAAATTTCTAAATTTAATTTGCCTTGTACTGAAAGAGGGCCTCCTAAGGGGCTGGCCTGTTGGTATCTAGAAATTTATTTTTTAGGTCACCTATACACTAAAAATACTTTTGTAATACTTGATTCAATATTTGCAATTCTCTAAAAACGTCAAAAACTAAAGATTATGTTACTCTTTGTTCTTGACTCCTTTGAATAAATGTTTCTGATTGATTTTGAACAAATTTTATTGGAAAGTTTTTAAGGCTCATTTAAAGAGTTTAATCCCATTGTAAGATACTTAAGTAGTTCTTCAAAGACACAAATACTTTTAAAAATCACATTAATAATGGGTTGCTAAAAGAAAGCCATGTGTAGCACTATCTTAAAAGATCTTTTTGTATTCAGTACAGTCTTCATCACAAAATTTTTGTAGTTTCAGTTTAGTTGAGTCACTCAGTCATGTCCAGCTCTTTGCGACCCCATGGACTACAGCACACCTGGCCTCCCTGTCCATCACCAACTCCCAGAATATACTCAAACTCATGTCCATCAAGTCGGTGATGCTGTCCAGCCATCTCATTCTTTGTCATCCCCTTCTCCCACCTTCAATCTTTTTCATCTTTCCCAGCATCAGGGTCTTTTCAAATGAGTCAGTTCTTTGCATCAAGTGGCCAAAGTATTGGGAGTTCCAGCTTCAGCATCCAGAAGACTCGCAAGAGTCTTCTCCAACACCACAGTTCAAAAGCATCAATTCTTCGGCACTCAGCTTTCTTTATAGTCCACAACTCTCACATCCATACATGACCACTGGAAAAACCATAGCCTTGACTAGACGGACCTTTGTTGTCAAAGTAATGTCTCTGCTTTTTAATATGCTGTCTAGGTTGTTCATAGCTTTTCTTCCAAGGAGCAAGCATCTTTTAATTTCATGGTTGCAGTCACCATCTGCAGTGATTTTGGAGCCTAAGAAAATAAAGTCTCTCATTGTTTCCACTGTTTGCCTGTCTACTTGCCATGAAGTGATGGAACGATATGCCATGATCTTAGTTTTCTGAATGTTGAGTTTTAAACCAACTTTTTCACTCTCCTCTTCCACTTTCATCAAGAGGCTCTTTAGTTCTTCGCTTTCTTCCGTAAGGGTGGTGTCATCTGCATATCTGAGGTTATTGATATTTCTCCCGGAAATCTTGATTCCAGCTTGTGCTTCACCCAGCCCAGCGTTTCTCATGATGTACTCTGCATATAAGTTAAAGAAGCAGGGTAACAATATACAGCCTTGACATACTCCTTTTCCTATTAGGAACCAGTCTGTTCCATGTCCAGTTCTAACTGTTGCTTCCTGACCTGCATACAGATTTTTGAAGAGGCAGATCAGGTGGCCTGGTATTCCCATCTCTTTAAGAAACACAGTTTGTTGTGATCCACACAGTGAAAGGCTTTGAGATAGTTAATAAAGCAGAAATAGATGTTTTTCTGGAAGTCTCTTGCTTTTTCGATGATCCAGCGGATGTTGGCAATTTGATCTCTGGTTCTTCTGCCTTTTCTAAAACCAGCTTGAAACATCTGGAAGTTCACGGTTCATGTACTCTTGAAGCCTGGCTTGGAGAATTTTGAGCATTACTTTGCTAGTGTGTGAGATGAGTGCAATTGTGCAGTAGTTTGAGCACTCTTTGGCATTGCCTTTCTTTGGGATTGGAATGAAAACTGACCTTTTCCAGTCCTGTGGTCACTGCTGAGTTTTCCAAATTTGCTGGTCATATTGAGTGCAGCATTTTCACAGCATCATCTTTTAGGATTTGAAGTAGCTCAACTGGAATTCCATCACCTCCACTAGCTTTGTTTGTAGTGATGCTTCCTAAGGCCCACTTGACTTCACATTCCAGGATGTCCAGCTCTGTAGACAAATGTTTTACACTTGTCTAAGTAAATCATATGCTTTGCCTTCTCAATGTAATCTTAGGAATGATGGCAGAGACTATTTATTGTGTACCCAAATACTTTCTATTTTCTTAAGCAACAGAGCCCTAATTTTTATCAGGGCATGTTGTCTCCCAGATTAAATGACTCCTTTTCTAGTCTTCCTTAT